TTTAATTCACCCAATCTGTTATAAGACCCAATCTGGCAATGTTATTATCTACAAGCCGTGTCAGAACGAACTGAGAATTTGCGACAATCTGCTCGATCTACTAAGACGAAAATTGTCCGAAGGACTCGGTCAGATTGGACAAAAAATGCTCGATTTTCACATATTGGTCGAAAAACATGTGCAAGACATAAAAAAATTGTCTGCGTACTTCTCGCATGCATTGGACAGTTATTACAAGTTTTTGGAAACTACAAAAGTGATAAAAAATCCTGAACAAGTGATCGATCGAATTTTCAACTATTCAAGAGCTGTAAGAACCGATTTAACCAGCGAAAATCTCCAGTTATACGCCAACTATGCGAAATACTTGGTTTTTGTCCAAGCACCCAATGTGCCAGAGGACAATTCGTGGATTGTCGATCACTTACTTCCTGTGCGCAAGTATTTGTACTCAACAACCGTTTGGTACGCATTATTATTAAATTTAGATAGCGAACTTCTATCCAATTGGGTGGTACAGAAAGATATTAGTCCATACAAAAATGTAACTTCAAAACTGCTCGAAGAAATTGAAAAAGTCCAGGATGTAAAAGAAAATAAAATAACCGAGAATTTGAAAAACTTTTTTGACTCATTTCCGGAACAAGAACGACATGATAAATCTGTAAATCTTCGAGACGTGGAAGTGGCTCAGTTGGAAGTATGGCAATTTGAACCATTAAAAAAATTATTGTCTGCAAAGTTGATGCACAATGGTCGGCCGAGCGTAAAGTGTGACACTGAATCGAAAAAATTAACAATCAGCGGTTCGTACGTCAAATCGAGCGACGTATCCAACTCCAAGTGTGACAATGCAACTTTCATCGAAGTATTCGCGTTGAGAAAAGTATTTTTCGATGAACATTTGTACCTACTCGGGAAAGAGGTACATTTGGCCATCATAGCCCCAGTTTGGGTAATACTCGGCGATCGAGTAATCAATCTCGATGGCGAGGATGCGAAAACACTGCGGTTGGTAGATGGAAGAGCTAGAGATGGCGCAAGGCCCGGAAGTGTAGGAGAAGATGGAAAACCCGGACTCCCAGGTGGACCAGCCGGTAATTTTCTGGGTATTGTCCCGATCTTACACGGTCCGCGACACCAAAACTGGGGACTCAAAATATATGTCAGAGGTGGCTTTGGCGGCATTGGAGAATGCGGAGGCTACGGCAACAATAATACTGAAGGAAAGACGGGAGCTCACGGACTCGATGGAATAAATGGTAACGTAACGATCATTCGAGCTTCATCGGGGAACTTCAATGATCCGCATTTAAAGATAATATCTTCCCGTACTCAAGAATGGGGAAATGCACTCGTTTACCACATCGATACTCGATGTTCAGTAGACTCACCTCAAGAGCTCAATAGTAAAGGAATAAAATTGCCCGATACACTGACGCCACTGCCATTCTATCGATCCATTAACAGCTATCAATACTTTTACAGAGAAAGCAAAATAACTGATATACCAGAGTTAATTTTAGAAGAATTTTCCAGGTTTTTAGATAATAGCGAAGCCGTCTTAAATTTGTACAACGTCGCAGGACTTATAGATAAATTCCAAGGACTCGAGAATCAATTCTGGCATCTCAGTCCCAAGATATCTCTATTGACAGATTATCACTCCTTTCTAAGTCAAATCACAAAGTACGCCAAAAAACTTGTGAATTCTATGCAGCTGTACCAAGATAGAGCCAATGCACTTCGGTACCTGTGCACAGCTGCACTGAGTAAAATCATCAATTTGGAAAAGAATGCCGACGCTAATTTGATTGTCGGCTTGAAAACTTTTTTGCACGCAATCAAGACTGACATCGACTCGATACCAAAATTGAAAAACATACAAATTATCAATGGATATAAAAGAGATTATGTCCAAGAGTTTAAGGTAAAAATTGAAGCAGCTCATCATTACGTATCAGACATCGTTGCCCCGGAAATACATAAAATTACTAAAGAATTTGACGATACCGTGATCCAGTTGGTCGATGAAACTGTGGCGCTTCAAAAAGTTGCTGAAAAGGAAAAGGAAGAATTAATCAAGCACCAAAAAACTTTGATACAATCGATGATTTGGAGCGGAGTATTAGGTACAGTGCAAGTGACGGGTATGTTCTTAAATTTTTTAGGTGAAAAGGGAGAGGCAGCAAGTTCATTAATTACCGGATTCACTTCTTTGCTCGAATCTATATTCGTCGATTCTTCAGATGTCAATGAAAAAGCTTTACTTAAGTTACCCGCCGCAGTTCAAGCAACTATGTCACCTCTGAAAAAGTACTTTGAAAGCAAGCAGAAGCAACTCGTCCAACGACTGCAAGACGCAGAAGATATGATCAAACGCGAGTATTCACTGAATAAATGGGAAATGGAACATATCGCCGACATCAACGAAAAAATCAAAGCAGCGAAAAAAAAGTTAAAGGATCAAATAAAGAAAGGCAAGACACTTGATCCAGCTTCAGTTGATAAAATGTATGACTTGAGGCAAGAAATCAAACAATTATGTATAAAAAGGATAAAAGAATTGGAGAATAAAAAGCTAAATAGCGGTCCCAAGGTATCGAAGACATTAAAAGTACTCAAGCGCATTCAGATTGGATTGAACATTGTTCAAGCGTCAGTTGATCTCGTCCAAAAACTCGGAGGTCAATGGGAAAGAATCAACACGGTCGGCGACCTAATTCGCGAAGCCGGGAAGAAATTCGAACGGCTGGAGAAATACGAGCGCGAAATTTATCATGTAATCATTCCCTTCTGCATGAACATCCAAGCCAGGGTCGATCAGGTGCAGGAACAGCTGAAGAACAAAACCTCGACGGATCTGATCGTCAGCAAGTGGGAGATCCAGAGCGCCTTGAGACACCTTATGAATGTGATGAAAATGGCTACTCAAGGTTTTAAGACCCAAAAAAATGTTTTGGACATTTTCAATAGGGTTGAAGAAGGTATAAACGTCATGGTTGCTCTGTACGATCACGTGGACAAGTATCAATACAGGATTGGGCTCGGCAAGTTCATCGCCAATATTAATTCCCGTTCAGAAGTCATAAGGAACAACGCAGATCTCGGCGAGGCAATCAATGACTTGATTCTTTCGGTCCAGAACAACGTAGTGATGCAGAATTACAAAGCAGCCACCAATGCCTTTAAGCAACACGTCTTTCCGTTCGCTCATGAATTTTTTCGTTATTACAATTTGCCGGAGATTCTAAAGACTAACAAGACCGATGTTATTGTGACCTATGTTTTGAGCGAACTCGACCAATTAGAAAATGAGTTGTTGAAATCCGATGCCATGATCTACAAGTACGATCGTTTCGTGCATCAAAATATCGTTTTCAAACATACAAAAGGAGGATCGAAGCCATTCTATAAGTGGAAATACAACAAGCACAAAAATAATATCGAGAAATTATTGCACGGACATAGAGTGACGCTAAAAGCTGATATAAAGCACGGATTCAAAGGCAACGCCGTAAAATTCAATAAAATCGGTATCAATTTTGCCTCGCCAAATAAAACGATTAAACAAAAATTGGGCAAATTGCTGTCAGGCTTCAGCGTCACCTTGATCCATTTAGGCCATTCATTTTACAGATGCGACGACAGAATATACATGATTCCGAGTGACAATCAGGCTATCGTATACTCGATGACCCATCATCCCGAAAGCAATGTACCGATCACCACCAACAAAGTTTACGACAAAATAGCGAAAAATGAGCCTGTCCTCAGTCCTTATGCCACGTGGCAGATACAATTGAATGGCGATAAGGATCGTTTCGATGAACTATCGAAATACGCAAACGAAACGATCGATTTGATGCTCGAGGGGACAGGACAGTACGTCGACTTAAATCTGCCGGTAGTGTGCAACAAACAGCTCGATCAATACTACACACGGTCTAACAATCAAATGAACACGATTCAAATCTACGAAAAACTTCCTGAGTCTGATTTAATAAAAGTGGAAAAATGGATCGATGAGTTATTGTACAGTATAAATTGATAACATAAATTAATTTTTCGATGCGTCATTTGAGCGGTAGCATTCTCAAGAACTTTCTTCAAGAAGAGATTATTTCGAAAAGAATAATAATCGAAGAAAAACTTATAGCAAATTTCACTACGATTCATTATAGTGAAAATTACAGTGTTAGAAACATTTTCTTTATCGTAGTAATTTTTTGTAAAGTATTTTTTTGAATGTCTAAATTGATTGTTTTAATAAAAATGCGACTTTAATGAAAAAATTATGAGATGAAATAAAAAAAAAAACGGATTAAAAATTCTTATGTTTTTGAAATTATTTAATACAAAATAATTTTCTTATTAAGTAATCTCTCCTGCGCCCGGGCGGTAGCCTCCTGCAGGCCTTCTCACAGAAAAATGTATAGAGATAGAAAAAAATCCTACATGAAGTAACACTTGTAATTTGAAGAAATATTTTCGATGCATTAATGAAGCACTCATCCGTTATAAAGATAATTACCGATGACAAAATCATTTTTATTTTTCGTTAAATTTACTTCAGAATCAGAGATCCTAAATGTGCGCATAGTAATTTACTCTATTTATTAAAAAGATCTTTATGATTGATTTGGATAACAACTCAATGTACGAGATCCCAGATTGTATTTTTTACGAGGCAAGACATCTTTTTGATCATTTTGCGATTTTTAAGTCAAAGACCCAGCGCTCTTTTTTACTTTAAAAAAATTGTTTCCCCAACGCAACGAAGAACTTGAGCGGCACATCGGGATTCCCAAAATATAATCATCGTGCTCGCAGCCGGCCGACAACTGGACTCGACGCGATGTTTGTTACAAAAACGCTTACTGTATACTTTGTTCGTTTTCTATGAGGCCATTATTTTTTTGTCGTGAAACATCAATTTTGAGGATTTGCTGCCAGTAATTATTCAGCGTGAAGTTTTTTCATCGCCCATTACATTCAACATGGAGGAAACAGTTATCGTGACATCGTACCCTAGTTACTCTGATTGGCTCATTAGCGAATACATCATGAGAAAAAATCATGATTATTCCATTGAGTCCCCAATTTTTTCGTGCAATATGGACAAAAAGTGGTATTTTAAGCTAGATTTTAATTATCATACAAAATTAACTGCGATAAGTTTAGTCGCTATTGATGATTGGGAGAAATTAGATTTAAGTGGAAGTTTTATGTGCATTCTAAACTCTGCAGGTGAAGAATGTTTGCGTATTTCTGATATCAAAGTGAATAATATATATTCACGTAATATTTATAGTCAATTACAAAACTACTTGACAAGAGGACAGTTAACAATAAGATTCTTAATTAATACTCAGCCACTTGAAAAAATTTCATCGTCAGCAACTTATGAATGTTTACCTATATCACTAACAAAAGTTTATAAAAATCCTGATTTATCTGACATTCAACTGATTGTTGATAAAGAAACATTTTATGCCCATAAAGTCATATTAGCTAATCGTTCTCCAGTTTTCAGTGCTATGTTTCAAATTGAAATGAAAGAAAAAAGAGGAAATATTGTTGAAATTGAGGATTTAAGTGCTGTTGCTGTGGAAGGAATGCTGAGTTTTATCTACACAAACAAAGTTTTCATCGATATTGACACAGTAGCTGATTTATTGAAAGCCTCTGACAAATATGAAATTACAGATCTGAAAAACTTCTGTGGACAATTTTTAGCTAGTATATTAGACGTACAAAATTGTGTCAGAATTATCTCCAATGCAGAACTATTTAATATGCAGGAACTGAAAGTTTCTGCTATCAATTTTATTGTCAGCAAAAATGAAGAGATTTATCAAATGGAAGATATTCATGAATTAGCAGAATCACAAACTGATTTATATATGGAAATCACCAAATCCTGTTTCAAGTTTTTACATATGATGAGAGATTACAGTAGTCTTGGTTTAGTTAATATTAAATAAGTTTTATAGAAAAAGATAATTTCAGCTTGTATTGTAATTACCCTACTAAAATAATTTGATTTTTGAAGTCAGTATTTTTGCCATATGTTTAAAAAAAATACCTTTATTACAAATATTAAAATTTTTTTATTCAAAATAAATATACTTTTATTAAAAGCTTTTTGTGCAGCCATATTTATTTTCCAAATTTTCTTTTCTAATTCATTTTACTTTAGTCGCTTATAAAATTATAACGGTGGCAAAATTTCAAAATGCTGCCTACTTTTTTTATACAATTACTTACTAATCTTCAACGATTGTGTCGTAAATAATAGTTTTTTATCGAACCAGGAATAAATTATGCCTACAGTTAAAAGTAGGATAGCTGTTTTTGATTTCCTATCCGTTGAAATATGTGACAGCTGCTTTAAAAAGGCATTTATGATTAAGGATGGTCAATTTTTATGCAGTTCCTTGTACCAAATTTATATTGGAGCTATTTTTTATGATTTTACGTATAGGGATTCCCTATGTAAGTCACGTGATCTGGTACTGGCATTCAAGCTATGATCTTTGCTACTTTATCTGTTCTGTACGCTCAAAGTTATATTAACCCAGACCGATGAACGAGTAGTTTTTGACTTATAATCATTCTGCAACTGATTAGTTTTATTACTTCTATGAGCCGGTCTTACTAGTCAAAGACATTTAAGCATCGTTAGAGTTTTTGTTTTCGTGAAAATTGTTCACCGCAGTTAATCAAAACATAATTTCGTTTGATATGTATGAAACGGTTATCATGACATCATATCCATCTCACTGCGATTGGATCATAAGTGAATACATAATTCGAAATAATCGTCCTAATGCTGCTATAATTTCTCCAACGTTTTTGTGTACAAGAGGAAAAGAATGGACTCTAGAGTTCTTCATATGGCGCGATTATTCTTCATCAATTGGAATCAAGTTAAAACGTAAAGGTCTTTCCGAAAATTTAGATTATAGTGGAAGTTACATATACATACTCGACCCCACAGGAAGACAAGATGACTCTTATCTCACTTATGTTACTGAAGGAAATTTTAACGATTTTAACATTAGTTCTGATAATTTTATGAATCAATTACAAAACTACTTGGCAAAAGGACAGTTAACAATACGATTTTTTATTAATGCCTGCCCCTTGATTCGGGCCTCATCTTCATCAACTTTCAAATGTTCACCCATGTCACTTGTGAACCTTTTTGATAATCCTGATTTATCAGATATTATGATTATTGTTAACAATACAACATTTTATGCCCACAGAGCTGTATTGGCAAATATATCACCAATTTTTGCAACTATGTTTAAAAACAAAAAAGAACATAAAATTATAAGGATTAATGAGTTGAGTGCTGCTGCAATCAGAAAGATGTTGTATTTTATTTATGTAAATGCAGTCAATTTTGATGATAACACAATTAATGATCTGTCAAGGGCTTCTCATAGATATGAAATAAAAGAATTAAAAAATTTATGCTGCCAATACTTGATTGGAAAATTGACCGTTCAAAATTGTATAGATTCTATTCAAATGGCTTATAAACTTAATATGCATGAACTCAAATTTTCAGCAATGAACTTAATTGTTAGTGAGAGTGAACTAATTTATCAGACTAAAGAGTTTTACGAGCTGGCACAAAAAAATTCTGATTTACATGTTGAAATTTGTAAAGCATGTTTCAAATATTTGAATCTGATGATAAAAACTAAACCCAATTATTTTTATTTCAAAAATTCCATATCACTTACTTGATTTTTTTAATCTTCTCAATTTTATAATTATCATGATTAAAATTCAATGAAAAAACTTACTACTATTACTTGTCAAGTTATAAATTATTTGTATTCGGTGAGAAACATGAAAATTATTATAAACATAAAATATTATTCAATGAGCAATTATTAGAATGAAAATAAAATCAAACTAATGATAAAAATAATATAATATAGTATTTTATTTTTTTTATATTTTTACAGTGACTGTACAGATGCAATTCATACTTGAATTTTTACAGTGGTATTTTAATCAGTTCTCTGTAGAGTTATCTACAATTATTGAACAAGAGAAAACAATTTTTAGTTTTCAATAAATCTTGAAGAAAACAAGTATTTCAACTTGAGAAAATTGAAAATTTTCTCACCTGATAATATGTAAATCTTACAATAATGATTTTTTCCTAGTTCAAACGTTTTACCAGTCAATGGTTATTTTCCAAAAAGACAATTACATTATTTGTTCCATATGTCATTCTATTTTATTATTTATGTTACTCATAATTTCTTTCAAAAATTCTGTGTTTGCCGGAGCTGTTGTATAGAGATTACCTAGAAAATTAAAAAATATTTTAATAAATGATAATCAAAATTAACTTATTACAGAAAAGTTTTGAGAATTTACCAATAAAATTCTGTGAATCATTATCATGTGTTATGACTTTGCAGTTTTGTTTTTTTTCTACTTTAAAACCTACTGATCGAAAACGTTCATCAGTTTGATACAATACATTATTCTTCTGATTTGAGTATGGTTGACCACTGAATGGATTGATAAAATCTGCCCAATACCCGCACATTTTCAATTTTTTACACACATCAGATGCAGCAAGCACAAACTAAAAAAAAATTCAGATAGCAATTAATAAAACTAATAAATGTCTTTAGCAAGCTAAACAAGATACTTACATATTGCGCTAATCTTTCTGTTTCCAATTCTTTACTCCATCTTGAGTTTTTATTGTTGGTCTTTTGACTGATTGTAATTATGGTTAATTGTGGAGAAGCTACTTCCAGGCACCCTGGAAATAATTCTAAGATATCCTTTCGAAGCAATGTCGGACATTCTTGAGAATGACAATGCAACACGGAATACACTTCAGGAACATTCAGTATATTTTTTCTTTTATTTACATTTGACCTTGCTATTTCTATATCTTCTATCTCATTTGGCACTAAAACCGACTGCACTTCTACTTGAGCCGTTGTTGTTGCATCTAGCCATCCTGGACCGATGCTACCCGGTAAGTAGAAACGAAATCCTCTGGGTGTCAGGAGCTCCCAATTGGAATCGATACCAAGAATTGCATTATTCTCCGTCTCTACAATTAAAAAGAAGAATAAGAACTGAATGCAATCTCATCATTAACGCATGTGAATCTATCTACAGTCGAAAAATAATGCACTGTTTGTTTTTGTTCTCAATCGTGTCAGATCGCAAGGTGACAAACAACTGGCGAACGTATACTGCGTGCGTATGTTGTTATAAAGTGCACATTACCGTCAAGGGCATCGTTCCTCGAGGCGACGAGCTTGTAGGAGCTGGTGCTCTTGTCGCTGCGACGCGAGTACCTGGCTCTGAGGATGCGAGCGACGAGCAAGGCTGGCTGCTTCGTTGATTGGCAACTGCGCTGAATATTACGTACACAAAACATCTGCAAGCACAAAAATTGATACGGATGATGCAATGTTGAATTGTAACGGGACACGGTTGTGTGTATTAAAAAAAAAAAAAAAACTGATGCAACGCGAGACAGTTCCTCGACGCGAGGTTATGACCGCGTACGGGAGCTTCACACAAGGGTCGTGGCGTACACCACCTACGATTCGAGGTTTCGATCCGTAATCTCAGCGTCGAGGCGAAAAAACAAACACTCACAATTAATCAGCGTTGACGCGATGCATGTTGACGAAAAACATTCGCTCGATATGCGTACGTGCATGTACTTTGTTCGTACGATATATGCAGTGTAACGTCGTATACGTATGGCTAGAAGTGTGTTTATATGTTGGCGTATGCGCGTTCGACTGCTGCTGCTGCTGCTGCTCACTGCTGCTGCAGACGAACGCGTCGTCCGCTACGAATTATTGCGACGCGCAAGTCAACACTGACAGTCCGTACTTCGTATTTTGCAGTATATAGTGCACAGTAGATAACGAGTGTAAATAACAAGTCGAAATGATTGGATCAACGGGCAAAAAATTTAAAAATAAAATTGACGAACAGAAGAGAGAGCGTGAAATTTCGTGGCGGGAAATTTCAACGTGTTTTCATCGAGAACGTGGCTATATCGTATTTAAATTGACTATAATAAAATACGCTATTATGAACTTTCAAAATATCGCATCTCTCCCGTTATTGATAGAAATATTCCACTCCCGTTAATTTTCGCTCGGATTACACGTCGATCTGAGCAAAACAATAGTCCCGAAAAAAAAATGGAAAAACCCACTATCTTAGATTTTATATTTAATTTATTCAAACCCTCGTAATTTTTGATCATAAATTATTTTTAAAGGAAGTCTTATGAATAGGTCTTACATGTGTACTGTGTATGTGTGAAATTTGTATGTAAGACAGTTTTGATCAAGCACCAAAGGACAGTCCACGAAGGTCGCAAAGATTTCGCGTGTGACAAGTGTGAGAAGAAATTTGGACAAAAAATGTGTTTGTTCCGCCATCAAAAGATAGTACATGAAGGTCGCAAAGACTACGCATGTGACAAGTGTAAAAAAAAATTTACTCAAAAACAGCATTTGCTCCTCCATCAAAAAACAATCCATGAAGGTCGCAAAGATTATGCATGCGACAAATGCGAAAAGAAATTTGGACAAAAATCTGATTTGTTTCGGCACCATAGGACTGTACACGAAGGTCGTAAAGATTTTGCATGCGACAAGTGCAAAAGGAACTTTGGAAAAAAAACAGATTTGTTTCGGCACCATAGTATTGTACACGAAGGTCGAAAAGATCACCCATGCGATAAATGCGAGAATAAATTTGGACTCGAACATCAATTGCTCTACCACCAAAAAACAGTCCACGAAGGTCGCAAAAATTTCGCATGTGACAAGTGTGAAAGAAAATTCGGACGAAATTCGGCTTTAATCAAGCACCAAAAGACAGTCCACCAAGGTTACAAAGATCACGCATGTGACAAGTGCGATAAGAAATTTGGAGATCGAAGCAATTTGAACAGACACCAAAAAACAGTTCATCAATTTCGCAAAGATATCGCATGTGACAAGTGTGAAAGAAAATTCGGACGAAATTCGGATTTGATCAAGCACCAAAGGACAATACACGAAGGTTTCAGAGATTATGCATGCGATAATTGCGAGAAGAAATTTGGAGAAAAATCGAATTTGCTTAGACACCAAAGAACAGTCCACGAAGGTCGGAAAGATTATGTTTGCGACAAGTGTGAAAAGAAATTTGGACGAAATTCGGATTTGATCAAGCACCAAAATAGAATCCACGAAGGCCGCAAAGATTACGCATACGACAAGTGCAAAGAGAAGTTTGGAGAAAAATCGAAATTGATCAAACATCAAAAAATAGTTCACGAAAATCGCAAAGATTTCGCATGCAACAAATGCGAGAAGAAATTTGGACATAAATCGAATTTTCTCGCCCACCTAAGGACAGTTCATGAAGGTTGCAAAGATGCGAGTAAAAGTGACGATTGACAATTGTAAATATGTATCGATACTCGTACATATATTTATCTAAAATGTAAATAAAAGTGCCGAACTGATTGAGTCTTACCTGATTTTAATTATCAATGCACCATTTTTTAGCTATTTGAAGTGCAAAATCGGATCTGTCATTGTCGCATCTGATTTTTAGGCGAGGCACGCGAAAGTTTAATTGGATCATTTCGATTACATCTGATATTTAAGAATATTGATTATTTTTCAGAGTATTTGATACAAATTTTATCACTTCGGGATTAATATCTTCCAACGCGAAGAGCATATTCGATTTTAAGATTTTGATTTATTAGTTCAATACCAATTCACGAATTCAAGATTTTGGTCGACTTATGATGTGTCATGGCTTTGGATTTATATAAATGCAAAAAAATAAAGAATGATGTTATTAACCGTTGATCAACCCAACGCGTTTTTCTGCTACGTTTAATATTTTTATTCCTCGATAAAAAAATAATATCTCGCATTGTGTCACGAGAAATAAATTATATGACGGTCGCAGACTCGACTTATCTCCAGAATGTGGCGGGATACGAGTATAACGACCGAGGCTTGAAGTTGGCATTTCGCTGCGCATTTCGAGTAGCTCAGATCAGTGTAGAGTCGTTCGCCCTCGCGTTTAGTCACGTCAGTGCAGGTTACGACGCCCTAGTGCAAACAAAGAAAGATCACATAAACTCGTTCGACTCGAAGTAAAACTTGAGAGTGAGTGTTTCGAAAGATGTTCGATTACTATGACGATAGCGACGATAGTGGTGGATATTGTTTCACTGATGATGATGAATATGCTGACTACTACTACGCCTATAATTGTGAATTTAAAGAAGACTATTCAAAAGAATTGAGAAGCGTGAGACAGAAGGTCAACTGGGACATTGAAAAAGAACGACGGAAATTTCTCGGTAAATTATTTTACTTGGTCCATAATTGGAAGGGCCAACTTCCGAATCTTCGCGAATTTTTTCGTCGCGAGGATGTGGATTGGATTATCGTCGAGTATCTGGACGGCTTGCAAAGAAATTACGGACGTGGTCCGGATTGTTCATTCATCAAGTTTGTGATTCGCACTGGTTACAAGGACGAGCCCGAACTCGATAAAGACGGCAAGCCCGTGTTAAGTCGCACTACGCCATTGCATTATGCGTCTGAAGAATTTTCCGGGGTTGTTCGTTACTACCCCACAGGGCCCGGAGTGTTCAATGACCTGTTTCAAATATACAACAGATACGACGCGAATTACCTCGGCGAATATGGCCTTACGCACTTTCATGTAGCCTGCCGGTTCGGCTGTAAAAACGTCGTCGAAAAGTTCCTCGAGCTCGGTCAAGATCCCAACGTACTAGTGCAAAAAACCGGCGCTTCGCCGCTACACTTGGCTCTAGCCATGTATGCCTTGGAAAGCCCCGGACGCGACGAGGTGCTCGAGTTGCTGCTGAAAAATGGCGCTGATGTTAATTTAACTAATGCCAAGGGATTGACTCCTCTGCATGTCATTTGCAAAGATCGCAAGGACGACAATTTGGCGGAGATGTTTTTCAAGCTCAACGACCAAATCCAGCAGACGATTCAGTTGGATGCCCGGGACAAGTTGGGCCGGACACCTCTGCAGATGGCCGTGGCGAGTCTCATGCCGAAAACAGTTGACGCACTCTTGGATCGTATCGCCGATCTGTCTGATTTTGTTTTTCCAACCGAGGATTATTTTGGCGCGGGACATAAAGGAAGTTTATTTGTACCAACGTCCAACGACACGAATTTAGCTTCTAGAACACTGATGGTCATCGAAAGCTTGAAGAAAAAAGGATATGAAATAAATCAAACGCACGCCCTGACAACCATGAAATTTTTTAACTACATAGGAGTGGTTCGCCAGTCGTTAGCGTTCATGTTCACTGGAGATTACGATAGCGATGATAGTGAACCGGGTTTCGAATATTGCACGATGTGTCATTCCTCTCGTGAAGCACCAAAGGAACCATTGTGCCATGCCCACAAATCCACCATAATATCACGAGGATTTTTCCAACATTGGTCACTAGGATTTTTCTTGAAGCTGACTCACCCTCCACTGCCAACTCGTTGCTGTAAAATAATCATCGACAAGCTTTCGAACAAAGATTTGTTTAATGTATGCATCGCAGTTGATAGCGCTATGAAAGAGCAGAGCCAAACACTAGATGTCAATGGTAAAGGTATTTTCATATTCATACACTTTGTAATCATACTTTTTTTCTGTTGTTCAATCAATAATTTTTATCTTTCTTTTTCAGTTGAAGAGATTGAAGAACTAAAAAATTTACACATAACTGAATGATTTTGGAATAATTTAATCTATACGTGTTCAATTGTACTTAACTGTTCTTTTAATTGAAAGATTTAAATTTAGAAGAAATTGATTTGTCATTGATTGTAATCTTGAGTTCAATCAAAGCTATTTCAAGACGCTCATCAACTCTAACTTTGAAACCTCTGACAGTGAAAAAATATATAAATTTGCTTGCTCAGTGTCATGTTAAATTTTAAAAACCGATAAATGCATAAAATGAAAGTAACAAATTTGAAAAACTACACCCTATGAGTGAGTATAATTGATAAATTATTACAATCAGTATGTAACTTTATAATAAAATAATGTTTAACGCTGAACTTCTATTGTTGAAAAATTCTTGTTATTTATAAACCTTTATTTGAATCCATTCATATTTGTGTTTATTGAGTTGCAAAGCAACTATCAAGTTTATATGTTGTACTTAAAATAAGATAAAAAATATATATGATTTTCGACAACATAGTCTATTTTTCGAGTTTTATAAAATTATGAAAAAAAAAACGATATAATAGGAAAAAGTAGTTTAAAATTGATGATTATATACGGATAGGATTTGATAGCGATGAAAAGCAAAAAAGACGCGCATAGTTAACGACAAATGCAGCAACAAACTTTTGCATTCAAAATAATTAGAATAACAATTCGCGGGTATTAATGAATTTGAAATTGTACACGATGTTGTCTGAATTTTGTTTTGATGAATGTCGTGCCGATCGACAAAGCCTCATAGCTCTATATACCGAAGCTTCGACCGAGGCTATTGATTTTCGTGAAAATAATCCAAAAAAAATACCAGAAAATGATTTCTTTGATCAATCAGGTCCGATCTATTATTGCAAATTGTCAGCGATTAAAATTTAGCTGGCTGACGCTATTTTGCAATCGTATTATCACAACTTGTACACTACTTCATACTTAATATGCCAATGAATTTTATTTGATAATAAAGTTATTTTATAATATTAGATACTTATTTTATAATATTAGATACTTTTTGACCTGAAAAAGTTTTGCTTAAAAAATTCAAGAAAAATTGACTCATTGCATGTGTAATAACACGAATACCCAATCATTATTTGCGATCATCATTTTGGTAGCTTCGCGTGCGAGTTCCATCAAATAGGAATGTATACAATGCAGGGGTGGGCATTATTAACCCAGTAATCCAATTTAGACTCAATTTACATCCGTTATTAATTCACTCGGATTTAACGTTTTTCCATATTTGCTCTTCAGTTCGCTCGTAAAGTCTTCGATAATAAACTCGCAGTTTTGGTCGGGAGTACTTAGTTTTAGAAGGCCGGAAAATTCCTCGAAGAAATCGACGTCAAGTAAGAATTTCAAAATGTTGTAAAGTTAATGTATAAACAAATAAATCAGTACCTAAATTATAAACAAACTAACAATTTTTTTGTTTTAAACAGTTATCATACTGAAATGTTTATAATAGAATAATTCAAAATCGTTGTAATACTTTTTTCAAAAGTTTAAATATGGGCAAGTATGACAGTCTGATCCTTATAATTTTAATCCAACTTTAAAATTCTCTCTCTCTGTCTCTTTCATTTATGAAACTTCTAATATCAAATCATCAATGATCAATTACTTAGCTATGATAGTAATGAAATCCAATACATTCCGACAAGTATTCAAGCAAACTAAAATTTTTTTTCCCTCAAACTATAACCATAATATAAAGTTTATTATAAAATAATTTAATAATTAATTATATGATTTTTAACATAAGTTCAATAATCAGTCACGTAGCTATGATATTATTGAATTCAAATACATTCCGACACATATTCAAGCAAACTAAAATTTTTATTTCTCAAACGATAACCATGATGCAAAGTATAATTGTTAGAATTTATAGTAGTTATTGTTTAATTAAATACAGTGATAAGTGAAATGATACTCTCATGCGACCATGCAAAGGTAACAGTGGTTTGTAAAAAAACATTACTTATGACTCTACTTGCCCGGCCGTCTCGAACAAATTCAAGACGTTCGCAATCGTCATATAATAATTATCAATGCATACAAAAATATAGTTTTCAAAGTTTTTGTCGTTTTATTAGAAGCTTTTAATTTAATGGGTCTGCAGTGCATTTTCTCACATAATCTTTATAAAAACATGTGATTTACTCAAATAAAGACAATGTATTAAGTCATCACTCTGTATTGTATGTATTCTTTTTCTGTTTTAATATACAATTTTTCTCAGAACCANCGAAAGTAAACAATATATATTTTACAAGTTTGTTATATTTTTTAATTCAATGATGTATAATAACATAATTTTATCTTGTAGTTGCTTTCGTTACACTAATGACATTTATTATTTTTTATGAATTGATGAATGGTTCTGAGAAAAGTTGTATATTAAAACAGAAAAAGAATACATACAATACAGAGTGATGACTTAATACATTGTCTTTATTTGAGTAAATCACATGTTTTTATAAAGATTATGTGAGAAAATGCACTGCAGACCCATTAAATTAAAAGCTTCTAATAAAACGACAAAAACTTTGAAAACTATATTTTTTATGCATTGATAATTATTATATGACGATTGCGAACGTCTTCGAATTTGTTCGAGACGGCCGGGCAAGTAGAGTCATAAGTAATGTTTTTTTACATACCACTGTTACCTTTGCATGGTCGCATGAGAGTATCATTTCACTTATCACTGTATATAATTAAATAATAACTACTATAAATTCTAACAATTATACTTTGCATCATGGTTATCGTTTGAGAAATAAAAATTTTAGTTTGCTTGAATATGTGTCGGAATGTATTTGAATTCAATAATATCATAGCTACGTGATTGATTATTGAACTTATGTTAAAAATCATATAATTAATTATTAAATTATTTTATAATAAACTTTATATTATGGTTATAGTTTGAGGGAAAAAAAATTTTAGTTTGCTTGAATACTTGTCGGAATGTATTGGATTTCATTACTATCATAGCTAAGTAATTGATCATTGATGATTTGATATTAGAAGTTTCATAAATGAGAGAGACAGAGAGAGAGAGAGAGAATTTTAAAGTTAGATTAAAATTATAAGGATCAGACTGTCATACTTGCCCATATTTAAACTTTTGAAAAAAGTATTACAACGATTTTGAATTATTCTATTATAAACATTTCAGTATGATAACAGTTTAAAACAAAAAAATTGTTAGTTTGTTTAATACTTGACGGAATTTATTTGATTTCAATAATATCATAGCCAAGAAATTGATCATCATTTACGAGTTGAGATTACCAATTGAATAGTTTAGAAACATAAGGTAGCACAAAAATATAAGGATAAGCTGGCCATACTTGCTCATAAATGTTCTTTTAAAAAACAAAAGTTCATGGGATTCCGAATTATTATATGATTTATATAAGTATGCTTGTGATCCACGTAATTTGAAAAATAAGTCTTGACAATGATATTCATGCGAAAACATCGCGACTTCTCGGAGAAGGTCATCGTCGAGTCCGGATCCCAAACTAGTGCGTCGAGCTGACTAATCCAGGTGATTTCCGTACGATAACATCGCGATTTCCCGGAGAAAATCATCATCTAGTCCGGATTCCGATATATTGGGTGAAGCGTGCCACCCGGGACGATATTCATGCGAAATCACCGCGACTTCCCGGAGAAAGTTATTGTCGAGTATAGATTTCGACCTAGTGCTTCGAGCGAGGCATCCGGGACGATATTCGTGCGAAAAAACCGCGACTTCCCGGAGAAAGTCATCGTCGAGTACAGATTTCGACCTAGTGCGTCGAGCGAGTCACCCGGGATGATATTCGTGCGAAAAAACCGCGACTTCCCGGAGAAAGTCATCGTCGAGTACAGATTTCGACCTAGTGCTTCGAGCGAGACACCCGGGACGATATTTGTGTGAGTGCATCACGACTTCCTGGAGAAAGTCATCGTCGAGTACAGATTTCGACCTAGTGCTTCGAGCGAGACACCCGGGACGATATTCGTGTGAGCACATCGCGACTTCTCGGAGAAAGTCATCGTCGAGAACAGATTTCGATCTAGTGCTTCGAGCAAGACACCCGGGACGATGTTCGTGTGAATACATCGCGACTTTCCGGAGAAAGTCATCGTCGAGTACAAATCTCGACCTAGTGCGTCGAGTGAGTCGCTATTATATATTCCCCGCGGAAAGTCGTCGCCGAGGTCGTATTTATACCCAGTGCACCGGATAGGGCACCCGGGGGTACAAAGTAGCGAAAACATCTCGACTTCCTCGGAGAAAGTCGTCGCCGGGGCAGCGTTTATACCTAGTGCACCGAATAGGCTACATGGGTATACAAAGTAGCGAAAACATCTCGACTTACTCGGAGAAAGTCGTCGCCGGGGCTGTACTTGTACTTAGTGCTCTGATTAGGCCACCCGGGTGAACAAAGTAGTGACATCACACATAGAGCATCGAGTGGGCTACCGGGGTATTGTAAAATTTTCGACTTCGATCTAGTTAGTCGAGCGGGTCTTCACTTGTTCATCATCATCAATCCGATACAAGTATACAGCGTATAGCGTTACACATACACAAACTATACGTACATGTATGTTGCGTGAGAACACGTATACTATACTCTGCGTGAGAACACTTGTATACGCTAGCGTGATAACATTTTTAGCGTGAGGACACTTTTCGAGAGACTCATATATTCATTTTCGTTTCTGTAGGAAATAGTGGACCGTTGGAAAATCTAAATAGCTCATATTGATAGGATTTTTTCCAAGGAATCTGATGGGCTTATCAGATTTTCGATAACTCTTATCAAATTCAAATGAGAGCCAAAAGAAAGTCGGCGGATAGGTATGGGCTGTATATGAGTAGCGGCGTGTCGTCACTTAGTTCCTGTCATACTTGCCAGGTGGAGCGCGACACGCGCTCCTCGATGGAACAGTGAATGTAGAAGCAATTATATGGCGGGAATATTTGTTGATTTTAAGGGTGCGTTCGATAATTTAAGGTGGGGTATGATTGTGAATAAGCTTGGGGAAATAGGATGTATGGGGAATGAGTTGCGGTTGTGGATGGATTATTTTAGAGAGAGAAAAGCATGTATGAAAAGTCGGAGGGGTGAATATGAATGGATGAATGTGGAAAGAGGGTGTCCGCAGGGTTCGATCGGAGGACCAACCCTGTGGAACCTCTGTGTGGATGAGCTGCTGTGG